AGGGAGGCCTAGCACCTCTGGTATGAGGGCTTGCTGAGCTCTTTTTAGGGCTGCTCATCCACTTTTGGTGGACACCTGTTATCTGCTTCTCACCTGTAGTTCCAAGAAGCTGTAGCATGTGCAGTGACCACACCCTGGTAAAACCATTTTGGCAGACAGGCTAATCCAGGTTGAGGGTAACCGATAGGCTTCAAACCCCTCAGTGAGGTAGGGGGATGTCTGCCCCAAGCATATGAAGATGGAGTGGCCAGATGAGAACAATTTGTTCCAAAGGCTACGAAGGCAGCTGAAGCAGGAGCCCTGGCAACTTGGTTAGACATCAAAGATGCCAAGGTCAGCCACTGCATCCTGGGCCATCGCTGGTAGTCTTAACTTTTGTCCTGCCATGGACTTCGATGACTCTGGAAAAGAAAGTGAGGCCGATTACTTTGTGAAGCTCTGACTCACTTAAATCAATTCGTGCACAAGTCAAGACATCAAGATATCATTTGTCCTCTTTGAAAACAAGGATAAACAATAATATCTAGCTTTTAAAATTTTAGACAAGTCACTTACCCCCTTAGTTTCCTCCTCTGAAAAATAAGGGGATTAGATGGTCTCTAAATCCTTAACTACTGACATTTTGTATTTCCATCTTCTAATGTCCCTTTCAGTAGTGACATGGTATGGTTGATTCTAGCATTACCAAGGATCTACTACGTGTTAGGCACTATGGTAGGCATCGGGGACATGAGACATGGCAAGGCATTACCAGCCTTCCATCTCCAGGTCTTGCCATCCGCCTGGAGCTGCATCTTCCCATATATGTGAGCACCCTCAATTACTATCCTGGGGAACAAGAGATTGTCTTCTTTTCTATTTGTATCTTCTGCACTTCACACAGTTCCTGGCACATACTAAGCACTTAATGAGTGCTTTTTCTTTCATTCTTTCATATGTGTTTCTCCCAACAGAATGTAAACCTCCTTGAGGGTTTTGTATCCTCAATACCCAGGACAGTGCTTAGTATACAGCACATTAAATCCTTATTTAATTGAACTGATTCATATCCCAAGTGAAAGAAGGACTTCAGCACTTCCCTTGGCCTTTTTTTTTTTCTCTGAGTACTGGGTGTGAAAACCTTTGCTAGGCTCCTCAGCAGAATGACCACCCAGAGAAATGGAAGTCAGTCCCAAGCAAAACCAGGTGTTTTATAGAGTGTCCCAAAAGTCCTAGTGCAGTTTCAAGCTTTAACCACTTTAGGTTTAAGCTGTTAAGGCTTAAAACTACACTAGTATAGTCCCCTGCTTTTGTGCTCTGATCAAGTCACTTCCCCTATGTTAGCCTCACATTTCTCCTCTTGTGAAATAAAATATCTAAGGTTCCCTTCCATTTCTAAATTCTATAATTCTGAATGAAAGGGAGGAAATAGGGTGGGGAGGAGACAATAAAAGCTACTCCCACCTCCCCAATTCCATGGTGAGACTTAAGACAATAGAGGTCAAAAGGGAGATTTAAAGACCTCATTTCCAAGAAATGAGCAGCAGAAGAAACTGAGGCACCAGTTACACTGATTCAGTTTCACCTCTGTACAGTAAATGAGTTAGGTAAAGCCATCAATCTGATTGAGGGACCACTGAGCCAGCATAATACATTGATTAGTAAGAACACTAGGCTTGGGGTCAAAGAAGCTGGATTAAAATCTTTCTCCTGCCATTTATAAGCTGTTTGACCTTACGGAGTCAATTTTCCTATATAAGCCTCAGTTTCTCCATCTGCAAAATGCAGATATTGGAGTAGATGATCTCTAAAGGCCTTTCCAATTGTCAATCCTAGGATGTCTCTGATCATCTTTTTTACCAAGAATTTTGGGCAGAAATTTCTTCCGCCCCATTCTCTCAACATTGTCTTCTCTGAGGCAAGTATTGTTCCGTTTATATCATTACAACTAGCTTTGTAGGGAATTGATCAAGGATGCAACTGGTCCCCCCAGTCCATTTGATGAAATTACAGAAACAGAAAAAATGAGCAGTAAGGGAGTATCTGTTTCAGACTTAGAGTGGGCTAATTTATGGGTTGGAAGAGTATAACCCTTGCAGACTTTGAGAGATCCTTTCTCATGTTAAATAATCAGAAAAAAGACAGAGGATTGACAAAGACAATGAATAGGTCTGCCATGAGCCTTTTCTCTGTCTACTCAATGAGTGGGTAAACTCGAAGGAGTGGCAGTAAAAAAGAGTAAGTTGACCCTATTGGCAATTAAGAGTTGAGATAATTGCTGAAGAGGATTTCAAGAAGAGTGCAGTCAAGTGCCTGGAGATTCCAATGCAGCTTAAATCATTTAAAAATGTAATTGGAAAATATTTTACAAAATAAGGAAAAATACAGTAGAACATAGATAATGTTAATAGATGGTTTTCTAAGTCAGTATGCAGCCTACAGGGATCATTATGGAAGGCATTATGGTCTCCATTTCTATTTGAGTTTGAAGTCACTGTAGTCAAAGGAGAGAGAGGGGGATTTCTCTTGCTCCTCCTTTAGCAATAGCATATGGTGTCAGGAGAACATGGTAGTATTCAGTAGTTGATTCCGACTATCAAATCAAGTCAAGTTCCCAGCAAAATAAGAAAGAGTCCAGGATGGTGACTGCTGCTTGGGAGATGGTTGTCCTTAGAGCTGCATCTGAGAGAGCAGAATCAGGTGGGCTCCTGCTGATTTGGGGGGAAGGGCTCTGGTTCTTTCCAGAAAAAGCAATAGAAATCCCTTCGACTGGGACTTCAAGGAGATAGAAACTCGAGGTGAAGTAGCCTCCATCTGGGACTGGGAGACTAAGGTCCACAGGAACAGTGTGAGGGCATCAGCATTCCTCTAGCATTAAAGGTGTGACGTGACTGTCTTCACATGGGCCTCAGCCACATAGGTTTCCTACTTACATGCCCTAGCCACTCAAAATTGGAAAGCGATACTTCTTTATAACTTGTTGTCTACATTTCTTGCTCCTTATATATCCTGTAATTTTTAAGAAGGTTGGGGGCCCTCAATTGATCAGAGGTCCCTGACATGCTATGGTTTACAAAGCACTTTCCTCACAACTATTTTATGAGGTAGAGAGTGTAAATGGTATTGTCCCCATTTTAAAGATGAGGACTTTGACACTCCAAGACTTGACTTGAGAACTGTTCTCTTGATCTCCAACCAGTGCTCTTTCTGTTGTTCTGTTCTACCACATTGGAAAGAACCACCATGTACTGATGTTGCTATGGGGACTCTTGAAGGGGTGGGTTGGGGAGACAGCTAACTGGCCAGCTGATTCTGAATGAAATAAAAAGCACTGTCACTCTGGGAGCAGAGGGAATTCTAGCTAGCTTCAAGTCCTGGCTTCTAGCTGGCCCCAGGATGGTCAGGGAGTAGAACAAAATGTAGGCAGCGGCTTTCCTCTTCATCTGCTTTGATGGGGTTTACAGGACATAATTTGTAACTTTACAGACTAGCTTTGTGAGCAATGCCAAAGAAAACCCAGAGCCTCGTGACAGGCATGCCCAGAACATCTGAGGTGAGAGGGTAATGACTTTGGAGCCAGAGGAGAGAAATTCAGATGTTCAGGCTGTAAGGAGAAAATGTTCCAAGACTCCCCAAAGACTTCCCCCTGGAAGCTGTCTCCTGAAGTGAGGCTACAGGGCCCTTAGGTTGACTTTGTACTCAGAGGGTACTCAAAGAGTCCACTGTGGGGAAAAGAGGACTGCCCTCCCAGTTGGAAGAGCTTGATTGGAGACCAAGCCCTCCTAAGCACTTAGTAACTGTGTAACTTTGGGCAATTGACTCACTTTCTTAGGCTTCAGCTTCATCTTCTTTCACATGAAGATGGTAATACTTATATCCCCTTCTTCTGCTCCCCTCACACCTCCTGCTATGGGGATTGAATAAGAAAATGGACACGAGACACTCACAGACTTCAAGTGCCACAGAAGTGAGCTGTCTTGTTCTCCTGATTGCTCAGCCCCCTCTCTGAACCACTCTACCTCTTCACCAGCAGCTGGGGACTTTCCTTTATGCTGCCCCTCCCCCCATTTGGGAAATATATGCAAGGCACACTTTTAAATTTAATTTGTGTCGTTAACATTTTCTTAAGTCTAGGCAATCAGCAAAACAATAAACCAAGCCCAGGTTTGCAGTACTTTTTGGATTTCTTAGGTGTGAATGTTGCTGTACAGTTGGTTCAGTCATATCTGACTCTTCAAGACCCCATTTGGGGTTTTCTTGCCAGAGATACTGGAGTGGTTTGCCATTTCCTTCTCCAGCTTATTTTACAGATGAGGAAACTGAGGCAAGCAGGGTTAAATGACTTGCCTGAGGTCACACAGCTAGGGTAATCCTACTCACTGTGCCACCTAGCTGCTCTGAGTTGTATATATTCACATTGAAAATTCCACTCAGTTCCCCTCCTCTAACCAGAGGGTTAGAGCTGGTCCCAGCACACCCTTATCCCTATACCAGTTTCCTATCTCCCCTTGATGTTTCATCTTCTCCATTAGAATGCAAACTCCTTGAGAGCAGGGACCACCGCATTTTCATGTGTTTGTGCTTATCACAGTGCCTGGTGCATAGTAGGCACTTAATAAATGCTCTATTATATTCTATTATTAACTAAAATACTTAGCAGCTGCTAAAGCCTTACATCTTGATAGACACGTTTTACCATAGTGCGACAATGGCCCTACATTCTCAAAGGCTCTACTAATGGAACCCAAGCTCTGACAGGTTCTACCAAATAGGAAAGGCATTGAACATAAAGCTGGTGATGGGCCTGGCATCTGTCAAGGAAAGATACCTGGATGAAGGGGCAGCTAGGTGGCTCAGTGGATAGAGCGCTGTCCCTGAAGTCAGGAGGATCTGAGTTCACATTCGGCCTCAGACCAAACACTTGACACTTACTAGCTGTGTGACCCTGGGCAAGTCACTTAACCCCAACTGCCTAAAAAAAAAGCAAACAAACAAACAAACAAACAAAAAGATACCTGGCTGAGTGTAGATCCAGCATCTGTCATGATCTGCCAGCCTAGAAAAGTACCCTTTGCTCAATGTCTGGGGGGTTGGTCACCAGGTGAACACTGCTTTCAGCCTCAGTAAATTAAAAAAAAAAAACATCAGCAGAAATGATGTGCAGATGGAGATCTACTTCCTGGATGGAGTACATTAATGAAATTAGCAATTTTTGAAGGACAAAATCATGCAATTGTAGATCTAGAGCTGGGGATGGAATGGCCCCTTCGGTGACCATCTAGTTCAAACCCCTCATTTTCTAGATGAGGATATAGCTTGCACTAAATCATATGAGTAAATGTCAGAGGTAGAATTTGAACCCAGATCTTCTGACTCTAGAATCATAGTTCTTTCTACTGTAAAAATACTTAAAGATAGCCTAAAAGTCATGACAACCATCCTCATCTCTGTTATCCTAAAGCATTGCCTGACATCCAGAAAACCAGAAAACATCCACTGAACCCAGAACTCACTTTGAAATTGCATCTTTCTTTACGGAATATGCATTATTCACACTTCAAGGAGTTAGGGTGTTTTCCTGGTATTCTATTTTACTTTGAATATTTTTTCTCTTATTTTATTTTTTCTCAATTATATGTAAAACTTTTTTTAACATTCATTTTTAAACAATCTTGAATTCCAAATTCTCTCCCTCCTTCCTTCTCTTTGCCTCTTCCTGAGAAGGCAAGCAATTTGATATAGGTTATACAGATCTACATTGAATACTGAGCAAAGTGTTTTGGGCTAGTATCTGATATTGGCTGTGACACATGCAACAACTCCCTCTCCCCATTCACTTTAGAAGCTTGTCTTCTTTATTATAGTCCCATATTCTGAATTCTAGGCTACAGGCAGAACATAAGTGGATATTATTTGGGGTTGATAAAGTACTTTAGCTTAAAATAATTATGATTCTTCATCTTTAGTGGGTTAATGGAAAAACCTTTGATTTAGAGATGAGTTCAACTCAATTCAATAAACCTGTATTAAGCATCTACTATGTACCAGACATTAAAGTGCTAAAAAGGAGATCATAGTCTAACTCCCTTATTTTACAGATGGGAGAACTGAGGTCCAGAGAAGTGGTGATTTATCCAAGAAGTAGAAATGAGATTTAAACCCAAGTTCTCTGATTCCAAATCTGGGGTCCTTTTACATTTCTTAGGTGAACAAGGACTCACCAACTATAATCCTTCCAGTGAGATGGAGGATCACTGGGTCTTACCATCTGTTCTGTAACTATATCTGCCAGACCCCTAAGCATTACCGTTTGACCTGCCAACATGACCTGAGGACTCCTAGGCCTTTTCCTCTCTGTTCTTGCTGTAGGACCACTAGGCCTTTCCATTTGCCCTTCATCTTTATGGGTTGCCTCTCATTTAGAGCATGAGCTCCTTGAGAGCACAGACAGCCTCATTTTTCTATTTATATCCCACAGTACTTAGTACAATGCTTGGTGCAAAACAGGTACTTAGCAAATGCCTCTTTATTCATTATTTCAAATTATTGAGGATAACTTTATACTGAGAGACAGACAGATTTTTCAAAAGCCCTGTACTGAGCAAACTAGAAGTGGATTTTAACTCTGCCTTTCTACTCAATTGCTGTGTGGCCTGGAGCAAATTAGTTATTCTCTCTTGGCCTTAATCTCCTCAGCTATAAAATGAAGGGGTTGTGCTAGGGGGTATCTATGGGCCCTTCTAGAGTCACCAGTCTGTCACTCCACTGGTGTTTCCTGTAAGCCCATCATACCTGGCAACATCATAACCCACTTTGTAATCACATAAGCATGGAGCAGCTGAAGGCATTTGTTAAGCTCCAGCCTTGTGCAGAGCACTCCAAAGTGTGACCTGAGGCAAAGGAAATAAAAGAAAGCAAAGAAATAAAAGATGATCCCCTGACTCTCAGGGCACTTGCCCTCTAAATAATGGAGATGGGGCACAAGCAATAGGAAAAGCAATTAAAGGCAAATGCAAATAGTGCAAACTATAAAAGCAGACCAAAGCTTGGCAAAAAATGGCTGGGCCTTGAGGCAGAGAGAACTGAGCTCAAATTCTGTTTCTGATGCTTTGTGACCATGGGTGAATCACTTAAACTCTGACTCAGGTGACTCCCTCAGATTTATCTGCTAAGTTATACACAGATTGTGATCAGCATTGATGGGGGGGGGGGGATTGATGATGTAGGTGTGAAAGTGCAGAGATGTCATGTCAAAGAATGATTACAACTGGTTAGGATTTAAGCAGGAGCTTGTGAACAGACACCCTGCCCCACTAGGGATGGGGGAGGGGAAGAGGCATCAGACATGGGTTCAAATTCCTCCACTTAATAACTGCATTGATTTTAGGCAAGTAACTCACCCTCCTGGGCCTCCATTCCCTTCTCTGTAAGACCAGGATTATAGGACATGATTTCCCACCTCTAAATTTAGGATTTTGTGATCTATTCTGTGCCCCTGTAGGTAGTAGCTATTTGAAGTACAGTAGGGAGGAGGCAGGTAGGTGGCTCCATAGTGCACAAAATGCTGGGCCTGGAGTTAAGAAGACCTGAGTTCAAATTTGGCTTCATACTCACTAGCTATGTGACCCTGGGTAAGTCACTTAAAGTCTGTTTTCCTTAATCCACTGGAAAAGGAAATGGGAAACCACTCCAGTATTTCTGCCAAGAAAACCCCAAATAGGGTCACAAAGAGTTGGACACGACTGAACAACAACAAAGAACAAATATAAATAGATAAAGACATATAACTATACACATATACACACCCAAGAAACCACAATGCAAGGGAGAATGTGATATGTACAAGGAGAGGTCTGGGCAAAGGGCTATGAAAAATCTGAGAAGGAAAAATCCAAAATGTTTATAGCTTGGGTGGGTGGGTGGGGATGAAATCAGAGAAGATTTCATGGAGGAAGTAATACTTGCCTTGAGGGAAAGAAGGAAATATTGGATTTCAGTATGGATGGAGAGAACCCATGCTAGGAAAGAATGTGATCCAAGAACATGGAGAAGGGAGAAAAGATTTAAAAGGAGACGATGTTGTACTGGAACATGGAATGTATGAAAGGGAGGGAGAGAAGGAGGGTGTGAGTAAGATTATGGAAAGCCTTGAATGCCAGGGTCAGGAGTTTTGGACTTTAATTGGTAGGCAGCAGGAAGCCTCTAAATGTTATTGAATATGGTAGTGCTGGGATGACAGTATTGCATACATATCCATGTCCCAAGCCCACCCTAGAAAGCTTTCTCCCTCTTAGTCCTGGCTTTTCATGTCTCCACAGCACTGTTTCTCTTAGCACCACCTCAGTGTGCTTGCTGGAGAAGCTAAATAGTACCATCTATGTAGATTGGAGATATTTGCTAATTTGAGCCATGAGGCTTTGTAGGATTTCTCTTCTCCTGTGCTTCCCCTCCCATCTAGCATACCTGAAGGACTTCCCTGCCTCTGGTCTCTTTTGTTCTCATAACCCATTTATGAGGCAGGCATTGTATTGCCCATGTTGTAACCACAGAATTGGGGCAGAGAATGGCTTACTTGAAGATTGCGCATAGAAACCAAGAATCTGGACCACCAGACTATCAGACCACCTCATCCATATTTGTGCCAAATGATTCTGAACTGAGAACTCTGAAGAACCTCCCCTGCCCTGCTCCCCCGACCTTTCCCAAGAACCTTATCTATAGGGCCTAATTTTGATAGTGGTCTTGGAGCTAGCTCCTGTGAACTCCTCGGCTGATTTGCCATTATCCAGAATCTGTTTTAAGCCAAGACAAATGTCAACATTGAGAAACCAGCATCCCTTTCTACTCTGTTTCATGTGAGCCATAATCCAACTGGGCAGCTGTATGCCTCTGGCGGCTCTTCGTCCATGCTGATGATAACTGAGCCATGTGCTCACTGTCAACCATTTTGGGTTCTTTGTAGTAAGGGCCAGAGCTCTGACTTCCCACTGATGGGAAAGCGCAATGAGTATGTGAAATTGGCCTGGTTTAGGGGGCCAGATAATTGCTGCTGCCAAGGGGTAAGGTTTGGAGCACTTGGCATGGCATATGGTGTGCAAACCTCTCTGCTATTAATTTACATTTCAATACTTCAAGAAGTCATGATTTGATAGGTGGGGATACTCCCTCCTCTGATGCAGAGAGACAGCCCTTCCAGTCTTTAGGAGACAGTCTTCACGAGTGGTTATAACTGGAAAAAAGAAAGGACCTGTTGCTAAACTTATTTCTATTGATAAGCCTTCCCAAACTTAGCTAGGCCAGTATTCAGACTAGAGACCTATAGTCCATTCCTAGTCCAATGCATTAAGACTTTACAGCTTGAATGAGCCTACCAGAGATTGTATTATGATCCAGAACAGAGGCCGTGAGGAGCCAGGTTTACCTTCATCCCACAATGAACCATTGGATGCCTTTAGTGGAGGCCTCTGTCTAAAGGTAAGGAACTGGGTATGGATTTGGCATCTCAAGTTTGAAGAGTATGAAGCAGCTTACACGTCATTGTGACCTGAGCATAAGTGGAGGTCAAAACAAAGGGTACCTGGCTGGGAGTGGAGGGTTGGTTCAGATGATGGGGGGGATAGCTGCACCAGTGAAGGGCCTGGGAAATAGAGTTATCTTTCTGGATTACTTTTGCTTTAGAGTTACCTGAAAGAACAGTGAGACAATTCTACCAGCCCTGGGAATCCAGGTGGGAGGATGGAATGGTCCCAGAATCTCACTGTTAGGGGCAGCTAGATGGCACAATGGATAGAGCACCAGTGCTGGATTCAGGAAGACCTGAGTTCAAATCTGGCCTCAGACACTTGACACTAGCTGTGTGACCCTGGGCAAGTCACTTCACCCCATTGCCTAGCAAAAAAAAAAAAGGAAAAAAAAAGAATCTCACTGTTGGAAGGGTCCTCAGAGGCCATCCAATCCAATCAATAGCTGAACAAGAATTCCCTCCAACAAAGTCACCAATTAATCATTCAGCCTTTGCTTGAATTTCTCCAATAAGAAGGGAACTCATGACCTCCTGGGGCAACTCACTCCACTTTGGGATAGCTCTAATTGTTAGGAAATTTTTCCTTAGGTCAAGCA